TCCTCCGCGCGCGTCCTCACGGAAGCGCGGCAATGCGCGTGCGTCGGGGCCGCACTCCAAAGTGGGAAGGAGACAGCTAGTGGTCGCCCGGGAGGGGAGGCGGGGGCCGGCCCCGGAAATAATCTCTATCCTCAGGCACCGGGAGTTGGCGAGGTATCCTCTGCGGTGGAGAGGTACGCGCCCCCTACCCACCCCTCCCGGCCCGCGGCCGGCCACGCCCACCAGGGTCCGGGCCCCGGGCGCTGCCGGCGGGGCTCGGCGTGGGCGGCACTGCCCCGGGGGTCGCTGCCTTGGACCCCGGGGCTGCGCCCTCCTTCAGGAAGCCCGGGCAGAGCCCCAGAGTTGCCGGGTCCCGTCCGGAATCCCGGAGACGGTGCCAGGGCCCGAGTGGCGGGCGTCTCGGCGGGTCTAGGTGGGCTTGGCCGGCGGCGAGGAGAGCCCGCCACCCTTCCTGGGGGTCGTGGATCCTCGACCCCCTGAAGACTCGAGTGATGTCAAGGAGGGAGAGGGTGCGCCCCGGATCGCGGATCCGCGAGGACCCGACCGTTCCCGGGGCCTGTCTCTCCCGGAGTCCTGCTAAGTGTTGGCCTTGGTCCTTGTGGCTAGTGGGTCGTCCCAGCTCGCACCTTGGTAGAGGGGTGAACCTCTGCAGGGCTGCCGGTACAGTTCTGTGCTCTCTGACAGGCGGAGAGTTGCATACAACGTACATGCTTAAAGGAGAATTAGTAATAAAACACGCAGATGAAAACAGAACATGCTGGTACCTCGGGAGTTCCACCCACACTTTGTATTCCCTTCTGAGCACGATTTCCTCCTAGACTGTGGCCTTTCCTTAGAGTTTTACCTTATAGTTTTACCACCTAGGTATGCATGCCTAAACAGTATAGTTTCACTTGTCTGTTTTTGAACTTTATTGTATTATTTTGTGGCTTTGGATTCCTGGCGAATTTGTATGTTTCTGTAGGTAGCTTTTATTGCTGTCTAGTATTCCATTGTGCGAATATAACCGTATCCATTCTACTGTTGGTGGGCATTTTGTTGTTCCAGTTTGGGGATACGAAGGACAATGCTAGAAGCATTCTTAAACCTAGATACTACTGCAAATGTGTAAGAGGGTTTTTTTTAGAATGCATGCCTTAGAGTCCAGGGAGAATTGTTGAGTCATAGGGAGTGCATAACTTTACCAGATGATGCCAAACTTTTATCGGAGGTGCAGCAGATTTCACTTCCCAGGATACATCTTTACTTTGGTTTGCAGTTCCTGGAGCCCCTTTTTTTCTCATTAAAAGTAGGTTTTGTCAGTGAGCATTCAGAACAATCAAGATGGCACTGACTTTTTTTTTCTTTTTTTTTTTTAAGAGAGAGAAAGAGAGAGAGACATCAATGAGTTGCTTCCGGTGGGGATGGGACCCACAACCTTGGTATGTGTCTTGACCAGGAATCAAACCTACGACCTCTGGCATAGGGGATGATGCTCCAACCAACTGAGCCACACCAGCCAGGGCAATACTTACTTTTTAATAATGCCTTACAGAGTACCAGTTAACAGTTCGTATGATTTTTCATTATGTGAATGTAAAAAAAAAATTTCTTGAAGTCTTCTCAATGATCTTTCTTTTAAACATTCTTCCTTACACTAAGGGGTCGAGAAATAACAAATACGTGTCTCACCTGGCTGTTTCCTTTGATGCCTTGTGGGTCTTTGTCAAACCAGGTTTCCTACAACCCAGTTTCTGTGGAATCCCGTGCACTTAAAGTGACCAGACCATTACCCTTGTTAGGCCTGCAAAGTCAGTAGGTGAGCCTGGCTCCCCTGTAACTTGTTGTTGGATGTAGAGGAAAACAAGGTGTGAGACTTTCCTGGGAGGACTGTTGTGTAGAGAGCCCCTATATTCCAGCTGCTCAAGTTTTCAAGGCTTGACACAATGGACTGAAATCTCCCTTTCCATGTCAGACTGCTCCTCCCATGCATGATAGTACAGTGTTCTTGAGGTTTTATTGTGTAGCCCCAATTACCTTCCATGAAGGAAATTATTTTAAAAGCTTCCCAGACGTCAGTAATTGTCTGCAGAAGCCATGTGGCCATCACATTCCTACGTGAGCTTGGGTACAAAGACAATGAGTTTATCCTTTGAAGTTACGGAATTTCCTGTATTTTCCTTATTTTCGTGTGTGTGTGTGTGTGTGTGTGTGTGTGTGTGTTTCCTGAAAACTTTGGAAAAGACCAAAGAGAAGGGAGTGGAACTTAGCTGTCTCTTACTGCATGGTAATGTTCCCAAGTTTATCCTGTCTTCCCAGGGAATACCTACTTAGAGCTTTGATGAAGGACAGTTTGAGATGCTATATAATGCAGCTATGGGAAAGGTATGGCTAAGTTTTATCATGGTTCTGATGATTCCTTGACACTTGTTAATAACTGTTAATAACAGTAATCAAAATATTATAGCTCTGCCCTGGCCGGTGTGGTTCGGTTGGTGGGAGCAGAGTCCCATACCCCAAGGGGTCTTAGGTTCCTTTCTGGTTGGGGCACATACTTAGGTTTCAGGTTTGATCCCCGGACCCAGTTGGAGCCTTACTGGGGGAGGCAACCAATCAATGTTTCTCTCTCTCTACCTCTCTCTCCCTTTCCTTCTCTTTAAAAAGAACATGTCCCCAGGTGAGGATTGAAGAAAGAAAAATAATTATAACTTCCATTTGCTGAGAACCTATATAATGTGCCAAGCAATATGCTGAATGTTGGGGTGTTTTTTTTTTGTCTTTCCCTAAACTCCATAAAACAAGGTGCTTTTTTTGCCAAAAAGTGGCTGTTCTGTTTGATATGTTTCAAATTAATGTTATATATTTTACATATAAGGAAGCTGAGATCCAGATTTTACTTAAGTACACAGCTGTCTGACTCCAAAGTTTATGCTTCTTTGATATATTAAAGTATATTCCTCACTAAGATTTAGCCAGTTAAGCAATAACAAAGCCAAAGCTAGAAATTAGTTCTGCTTCTATAATTATTCTATCAATTACCAACACAGTTGCCAACATATGCAGTATTTTGTTTCTGTAAATCTCAAGTAGTTAAAAACAGTGCTATTAACACATTTTCATATTTGACAGGACCCTATGAAATAGATTAGATACCATGTTCTATAAATTTAATAACCTTGTTCTGGGTTTGAAGTAAGCTGCATTTAGTAGCTGCTGTAACATGTGATATTCCCTGTGCACTGCTCAAGGGAATAAGATGTAGTCAATGTGTGTGTCTCAAGTGCAGTGCACTCACTGAGATCTTTATAAGACACCATCAACAAACAGGTGGTAGGTAAGAGTGAGACTGAGACAGATGATTTAAATCTGAGCACTTAAACCGAATTTTCATCTCTCAGGAAGGAAGCAGGCACTGGCTTTTATTTTTATTGTTAAAGTAATATATACTTGAAAAGAATTCAAACTATAAAACTGTATCCTGGGAAAGATTAAGATCTGGCTTTTCCAGTCCTCCCCACTTGTAGTCACTTTAACCATTGGTATTTATCTTTCTTGACATTATTTTTCTATTGCAAAAAACTCTGGATCATAGAAATGTAGTGGTGGGAAGAAATTAAGGAATCCTCAGGTTCTAGCTTTTCCATTTTGCAGTAAATGAGAGGTCCTATGAGATTAAGTAGGGTCATAATTGTAGTAGCAGAATTGGAGCTCAACTCCAGGCAATGCTTGGGCTTCAGTTGAGAGCTATGATGTTGGACACAATCGATAGCACTGTTCTGTTCTAGATGAAAAAACTGACTGTGAAAAGCAAAAGTCGGACAATTGAAGTTCAGATCCACTTTGGAATTCATTAGCAAGATTGAGGTTTATTGTCATCTTCTCCAGTAGAAAATCTTCTTTCTATTGTTTATCCCCTACAATCTTAAATTGGCTTCTTTCCAAACTAAGGTGGTATTTTAATACCTCATTTTTGAGCCACTAGCTCCTACAGTTCCTTTAAAAAAATCTTTATTGATGAAAGTATTACAGATGTGCCCTTTTTTCCCCATTGACCCCTTTTAGCCTGCACCCACCTGCACACCAGGCCTTCACCACACTATTGTCTGTGTCCATGGGTTATGCATATATGCATACAAGTTCTTTGGTTAATCTCTTCCCACCCACCCAACCCCGCCTTCCCTCTGAGATTTGACAGTCTGTTCCATGCTGCTATGTCTCTTGATCTATTTTGTTCATCAGTTTATTTTGTTCATTAGATTCCACATATGAGTGAGATCATGTCATACTTTTCTTTCTCTGATTGGTTTATTTCGTCGAGCATAATACTCTCCAGGTCCCTCCGTGCTGTCTCCAGGGGTAAGAGATCCTTCAGTTCCTTTCTTATACTCTGACTAGAGGCCCAGCGCACGAAATCGTGCACGGGTAGGGGCCCTAGGCCTAGCCTGCGATCAGGGCCATCTTCTGCCTGCTCGCCAGGCCCCAGTCCCGCCCTGCTGCCGCCTGCAGGACAGGGGGAAGCACCAAGAGGTCTGCCTTCTGCCTGCTTGCCAGTCCCCAGTCCTGCCCTGCCGCCGCCGCCCACCCCAGTTCCCCGTGGTTCCCCGTTTGCTATCTGGCGAACGGAGCCTGCAGGCTGGGGGAAGGGACCAAGAGGTGGTCAGTGCACCTCATAGCAACTGGTCAATCAGTCGTTCTGGTCGTTACGCCGTTATGGTCGCTGGCCTTTTATTATATAGGATTATAAGTGAAACTACTTTTGAAGCCCCCAGCAAGTAGGTCTAAGTCATCATTAGTAGTTCTCCCTATGAGAGCCCCTAGGTTTAGCTAGGGTTTCCACATGACAAGAAAATGCAACTGACTTCTCTGTTCCTCTCAGAAATTTATCAGCAGTCTCCCATTCTACCCTTTCTCAACCCAAGCACCTTCTTTGGTAGTACTGGAATTTGTGGAAATAAAAAGTAACTCATTTCAACAACTTTGGGAACTTCTATAAAAATAACAAGTAACATTATATCACTGTGCAGTACTTAACATATCCTGCCTGGGTCTCTGAGCTCTTGGAAGTGTTCATGAAGCAATATCTTAAGGGAGTAATTATGTGGAAATCCTACACACACACACACACACACACACACATATTAGAATAAATATATGTATAGAGAGAAAAAATTAGGTGAGGCCAGTGTGGGACAGTGATTGAGTGTCAACATATGAAACAGGAGGTCATGGTTTGATTCATAGTCCTGGTCTGGCATATGCCAGGTGTGGCCTCGGTCCCCAGTGGGGGCATGAGGAGGTGGCTGATCATTGATTCTCTCTCATTATTGATGTTTCTATTTCTCTTTCCCTCTCTCTTTCTCTCTGAAATCAATAAAAATTTTAAAATGTGGCTAGTGTGAATGAAGATGTGGTGTAAGTGTTATACTGTACTTTATTTAAAATAAAAAATAGCCGAAACCGGTTTGGCTCAGTGGATAGAGCGTCGGCCTGCAGACTGAAAGGTCCCAGGTTCGATTCCGGTCAAGGGCATGTACCTGGGTTGCGGGCACATCCCCAGTCGGAGATGTGCAGGAGGCAGCTGATCGATGTTTCTCTCTCATAGATGTTTCTGACTCTCTATCTCTCTCCCTTCCTCTCTGTAAAAAATCAATAAAATATATTTAAAAAAAAAATAAAATAAAAAATAAATAAATAAAAAATAAATAAAATTAGTACAGTAGGCCCTAGCTGGTGTAGCTAAGTGGGTAAAGTTTGGCCCATGCACTAAAGTGTCACAGATTCGATTCCTGGCCAAGGGCTCATACCTGGGTTGCAGGTTCGATCCCTGTCCCAGTTGGGACGTGTGCAGGAGGCAACCAAACTGATGTGTCCTCTCACATCAATGTTTCTCTCTCTTCCCCTCCCTCCTAACATCCCCCCCCCCTAAAATCAATGGAAAAAATATCCTTGGGTGAGGAATAACTACAAGAAATAGTACAGTAGAATTTAGTCACATTCCCACCGATTACACTTGGGAGGACATAGAAACAAATGTAATCATTCCATTTTTTTAAAAAAGTACAAAATAGTAAACTCCCTAAGTGTTTAGCATAGGAGAAGATCCTCCCAACTGTGAAATAATTTGATTCAATAATTAGAGGCTGGGAATCTGAACACGGGATTACAGTTTGGTTATCTTTGAGCAGATGCAAGTAGTCCCCACTACCCTTAGGCCTTTTGACAGAGCCATAGCATCTCTAATTTAAAAAAAGGAAAACTGATAAAATAAAAATCTAAACTGACTACATGGCTCAATCCATGGCTCACTCCTAGCTCATGAGGCTCTTTCTTCAGTTTCAGTTGGCAGTTCATTTGACTGTTCTTTTGGATAAAAATACTGAAGTTAAGGTTCTTTGAGTTTCCTGGTGTGAGCCTTCATCATGGATATCTGAAACCTGTCATTAGAAAGTTCCTCATATATCAGGCCATTATTATGTGTAAAGCTGATGGAAGCCGCCTTTGATCTGCTTGTTTGCTCAAGTTTCTTCAGTGAGAGGTAAATTTTCTTAGAAGCAGTGAGTTCAGATTCTTTCAAAGGTCTTGGACTCTCACACTCAAGATTCCTCTTAACAGAGTCTCCTGATTAATGATATTGACTAAAACTCTTTTCAGTGCAGTTAAGTTACATAAATACAGAATTTTTTTTTTAATTTTCCATCATCATTTATTCCCTCTATGCCTTCTTCCACCTCCACCCAATCTCCTCCTTCCCCTCCCCAAAACACCACACTATTGTCAATGTCTATGAGTTCTCTCTCTTTTTTTCTTTTTTTTTGCTCAATCCCTCTACCCACCCCCACTAGAGCTATCTGCCTGTTCTGAATAGTTATATATAGTTAATCGAATCTTTATTTCCTTTATTTCCAGTTAGGTGTCTTATAAGTCTTTGAACTTTTTTGTTTTGCCATCTGAAAAACATACCTGTGACATTTGGATTCAATGTGGTTGGGCTCTCTCTCCTTATACCTATAGAAATTGGGGTGTTATCATTTCTCTCTAGTTTAGTCTATGGCAGTGGTTCTCAACCTTCCTAATGCCGTTCTCAACCCTTTAATACAGTTCCTCATGTTGTGGTGACCCCAACCATAAAGTTATTTTCGTTGCTACTTCATAACTGTAATTTTGCTACTGTTATGAATCGTAATGTAAATATCTGATATGCAGGATGTATTTTCATTGTTACAAATTGAACATAATTAAAGCATAGTGATTAATCACAAAAACAATATGTAAATTAATTATATATGTGTTTTCCGATGGTCTTAGGCGACCCCTGTGAAAGGGTCGTTCGACCCCCAAAGGGGTCACGACCCACAGGTTGGAACCACTGGTCTATGGGAAGGAGAGTTTCATATCCTCCCTTTTCTCTTCATAAGGAAATGCAGCCTGAGAGTGATTCCATATTCCAGGCAGGGCAAAGAATTCTGAGCCATAAGCTGAACTTAGTCCCAGGTGAGGCTACTAGTTTTTCAAACACCAGAATTTTCATTAATTCAAGTAGTCTTAGCATAGATATAAATGTCCTATAGCCTCATTGTCTTTTATTTTTCAAATTACTAATACTATAAGTAAGGTAAGTAAGGTAAGTCACTCTTATTTAAACATATTCTATTAGGTCCTACGGGATATAGGGCACTATGCTAGGTAATATAGGAATATGTACAGAAAAGACAATATTTTCTCCCCTATCCCTACATGATAAATTCTGTGATGTACATTTAGTGCTATGAGGGAGAAGAGGATCTGGTCTATTTGGAGAACTTATGTGGTATTCAAGAATAAGAAAAGAGCAGTTGGGCAGGAGGAGTGTTTTTTGTGTGTTTTTTTTTTAAAGAAGCTACATTTGAAGAGAAAATGGTATTTTTTAAAATTTTGTTTTAAAAAATGTACATGGATGATACATTATAATAATTGTTTTCCTTAAAGGAAATAGAATTGTGTACTCTCCAAACTAATGTCTGGCAAATTTTAAAGAACTCATTAATGGGGCAATCCACACTGGAGTTGTACTTAATGCAGCCTACTTTAACTGGGTACTACAAAAAAAAATTAAATATGTTAGAAGTCAATAATATTTATACTGGAGGCCCGATGCACGAAATTCGTGCATGAGTAGGCCTTCGCAGCCCCAGCTGCCTCACGGCCCTGCGGCCCTGACCCCCCGCCCACAGGTCGTTCCGGAAGGTCCTTCCACGGTCTGGTCTAATTAGCATATTAGCCCTTTATTATATAGAATTTTTATTAGTATTTTTTTTCACGGTGTCAGTTGTAACTTTCATCTTGTTTCTTTATCTTTTAGACCTGGAATGGCCAAATATCAGGGAGAAGTTCAAAGTTTGAAACTGGACGATGACTCAGTCATAGAAGGAGTAAGTGACCAAGTACTTGTGGCAGTTGTGGTCAGTTTCGCTTTGATTGCTACCCTGGTATATGCACTTTTCAGGTGAGACTAAAGGACAAAAGAATTGAAATAATATATATTTCCTAGGGCCACTGACTTTCTGACTGCTTCTAGTAATGCTTAATACTTAATATGAAAAGCAAGTAATAGATCTCAGCAATTGTATATATTTACTAAAGTATTTTTTTTCTACAAGGCCCTAAATGCTACCATACATTCCCTGATGTTAGCTGTCTTATCAGATAAATCTACATTTATTATCATATTTTGAATAAAATATTAATATTTTCTATAGGAGTATCACTGTTTGAAAATGTAATTTTCATAATTGAATCTATCAACTTGTAGGTGATATAATAAATACAAAATATTTTCAGTGTTTAAATATAAAACTAAGGCAAAAAAGAAAAACTCGTTTTATAGTATATAGGGACTTTAGGTTAGAATTAAAATTATTGTTATAGAATCAGAAATAATACTTAAAGGTGTCAGATGTCTATATACCAGCGATTTTCAATCAGTGTGCCGCAAGAATTTTTAAAACATGGAATACCTGACTAATTACTCAGGGACACTGACCTCTTTTCCCTCAGATTGTGAAATAAAAAAATGATAGCAGTCAACACAACATTAGCCATTCAGTTTGAAGGAATCAAAATTATTCCTTTTTTTTGTCAGATTGGCAAAAAATACAGTATTTTTTGGTGTGCTGCAGAATTTTAGTAATTAAATTATGTGTGCCATGAGATGAAAAATTTTTGAAAACTGCTGCTATATACCAATACATAGAGACTAGTAAGAAACTAGAAATTTAAGTGTTAACACATGGAGATAAATATATATATATATACTAGAAGCCTGTTGCACGAAGATTCGCGCAATAGGCCTTCCTTCCCCTGGCTGCTGGCACCGGTTTTCCTCCGGCACCTGGGACCCAGGCCTTTGGTCCGGCTGCAGCCAAGAAGCCAAGCCTCTTCAGTCTTCAGTCTTCACTCTGGCCGGAGCCTTCAATCTTCGCTCTGCGCCTGTGTATGCAAATTAACTGCCATCTTTGTTGGGTTAATTTGCATAGTCACTCTGATTGGCTGGTGGGTGTAACGGAGTGACACTAATTTGCATGTTTCTCTTTTATTAGTGTAAGTTAGTTTGCCTGTTTTTACTTAGGTAGACATGTTTGTGTAATTAAAATTAAGTATATATGAAAAGTTTAATTTCACAGAATAGTTTTCTATATTACAGTGGTTTTAAGTTTATACTGAATAGGTGTAATAAATGCATGCATTCACCAGTCATCTGGAGTAAACACATGCACACAGTTGGGGCATGGCTCAGTGCACATCAGAACGGTGGCTAGCGTGCATTAAGACTGCTGCAGAAAGTCACCCAACCCAACAACAGAACTATGAGCGATGTAGTGTGATCACCTGCTAATCGTTTGCCAAACATTGTTTACCAGCGATGCTTCTTGGATTTAAGTATATAGACTATAGTTGTAGATATGTAATATTTATTTATGTCAGTGAAATTGCTAGTGTTTTTTCCAACATATGGCCCATTTGCTACAATTTATTTAAAAAAGATAGGGGTAAGGGGGAGAGATCAACCAAGGGACTTGTATGCATGCATATAAGCCTAACCAATGGACACAGACACCAGGGTGGTGAGGGCATGAGTTGGGGAGGTAGGGGGGGCAATGAGGGGATAAGGACATATATGTAATACCTTAATCAATAGAGAAAAAAATTATTCAAAAATTACCAAAAAACCCCACAACAAAACCAGTGAATAACAACAACAACAACAACAATAACCTGTTAATTTAATTATAAGTAAATCTTGGTAAAATGCATTTTAAAATTAACAATGTGTTCATTTTCACATACTACATAAGGACCGGAAATTTTGTCCATTAAATCCAAAGTCTGTTAAATCAAGGTCCGCATAATCAAGGGTTAACTGGAGTTCCATTACATTTAGACATTTGACTTTAAATTGTTTTTATGTCTTCTCTGAAATGATGGTTATGTTTAATCAGTTTTCTTTTCTAAAATTTGAAATTTTTTTTCAAATATTTTTATTGATTTCAGAGAGGAAGGGAGAGGGTGAGGTAGAAACATCAGTGATGAGAGAGAATCATTGATTGGCTGCCTTCTGCACGCCCCCTATTAAGGATTGAGCCCGTAACCCAGGCATGTGCCCTTGACCGAAATCGAACCCAGGACCCTTCAGTCCGCAGGCTGATGCTCTATTCACTGAGCCAAGCCAGCTAGGGCTAAAATTTGAATTTTTTTACTAAAAATTGAATAATTATAGGATGGATTTCTTTAATTTTCCTTATCCCATCGGAATATTAATTTAGAATTCTTATTGCTGTTGGGTATTGGTTCACCCAGAGAGTAAAGGCTCCTCTATAGAGTAACACCAGGATTGTGTGGACTTAAATATTGCTGTTAAAGAGGTTTTAGTTTAGGAAAAACTTTTACAGTCAAATGAAATTAAGCCATAATTCAGATATGAATCTTCACCCCCAACCTGCTAACCTAAGTACTTTTAATTTTCAATACTTACTTGTCTTATCCCATCCTATTATATCAGTCACTATTGTATTGCCTTTGAGTATCCAGTTTAATTTTTAATGTTAAGATATTAGTGGTATGTTAGCTTTTGGCATTTCTACATTATATAATTTTAGTTGTTTAGTTGTTTTTTAATATTATTTGTATTGGTTTCAGAGAGGAAGGGAGAGGGAGAGAGAGATAGAAACATCAATGATGACAGAGAATCATTGATCAGCTGCCTCCTGCACGCTTTGCACTGGAGATCGAGCCCGCAACCTGGGCACATGCCCTGCAGGGGAATCAAACCTGGGACCTCCTGGTTCATAGGTGGGCACTCAACTACTGAGCCACGTTGGCCGGGCTATAATTTTAGTTTTTGATTTCTCTGTCCCCCACCTCACCAATAGGTTAAAAAGTTGGGAGAAGGACTTTGTTAGATATAAAAAAGTGTTCAAATGCATAATAATATATAGATTTATATAGCTGCTTATTTTGAAGGAATTGTACAAAAGAATTAAATGTGTTCATTGTTCTTTTATTATTTGTAAGTCTGTGATTACATTAAATCCAAGGTACTAGGTCTCGGGATTTCATCATTTGCCAGTTAAACCTGAAATGGGCCAATAATCAGTGATCTCAGAATAGCCTGGAGTGTTCAGTCCTGGAAGTGGAGTACAGTTGTCCACTATCATTTACGTTTTAGTTACCAGTATTCTAGGTCAAAAATTAGACCCATAAAGAAAACTGATTCATCTGACAGTATTTTATATTCAAAGTTTATTGTATTTTATTCAACAGAAATGCACATCAAAACATTCACCCAGAAAACCAAGAACTAATAAGGGTGCTTCGGGAACAACTTCAAACAGAACAGGTACTGTTTATGTAAATATGTGCATTTATGCAAGAAGTAGACGTTATTACTCCCTTTGTGTATGATATTATGATGAAATATTAATAAATTACTTTTTAGAAACATAGGCTTCTTCCTGCTTTAAGACCTTAAATTATTCTATTGATTGTATAGTTTCAGATTAGGCAAATGACTAGTATTAATCTATTCAGGTGTTTTCATATTTTTTAAACTTGCTTTAAAAGACAGCAGTTTTCCTTTTACTTACTTGTGAGGAAAGAATCACTGTCTAATTGGCTTTAGCGAAATGTAGTGTAAAAACTATTCTTTCTAACATACATTTCTCAAAGACCTACAAAGAAATGACTATAACGAGGGCTTTTTTTCTTTTTCTTCAGCAGTCAAAGTTAAGAAAACTAGTTAGGCAAAATAAGAAAACTTTTCTCATCTGCCCTGTCTTTGTTTCTAACCAGATGAACTCTCTATGATCCAGAAATGTAACATATTTTATGAAGGCTGGATTAAGTAGGATATTATACACCTTCATGCTGAGATAGCTCACATCAAAAAACAAAATTTAAAAATTGATTTCCTACCCACCACGCAAACTTTAATTCCAAAGAGGGTTTTATTGATTATCCATTCACCAAATATTTATTGATAATCCACTATATGCCACCCAGTGTTCTAGGAATTGGGAATTCAATTCTGAACTAAACACACAAGAATCCTGCTTCTTAGAACTTAAATTAATTGATGCAAAAATTGTTTAAGCATGTTAGTAGTACTCTATTCCAGAGCTATTGTCATCAGTAATTCATGCCGGGATAGTGTTTAGTAAGTCACAAAATGATTTCACATACTATTCTTATTTAATCTTCAAACATAAGAAAGGCAACATTTATTCTCATTTAACATATTAGATCACTAAGATTTCCTTAAATTCACACTAGGGTTACGTGACTAGATCTAGATATACAGGAGTCCCAGACTGAGGGGGATCTTCCAGGTGTTTTTTTTTTTACCACTGTCCGAGGCATGTACCTCATACCTTCCATAGCTTGATTAGAATAGTTAGAATAAAGCTAGTGACTTATCCTATACTGTGCTGTCCTACATTGTAGGCATTAGCCACACATGGCTATTTAATTTTACATTAACTAATATTAATTAAAAATTCACTACTTTAGTCACATTAGCCATATTTCAAGTACTCAATAGCCATTTGTAGCAAGTGGTTACCATACTGGACAGCACAAATAAATTTCCGTTATTGCATAAAGTTCTGTTGGACAGCACTGGTAACTGGTTTTTCATCAATTCCCAAAGAATAATAAGAGAAAAGGTAGGGGGGAGAACATTAAGTGCTGTATGTTTTTCTTTTTTGCACCATTAAAAATGACATAAAAGATTATAACTTCAAGGTGTGACCTTGGCTAAATTAATTAAGTAGCTAAACACTGGTCAGGAATGTATGAATGAAAAAAATACTAAAAATGAAAAAAGCTAATACTTTGGAAACAGTTTGACATTTCTTATCCTTCATTTATGGGTTAGCTCAGCCTTGTGTTACTCATTCAAAGGGAGTAAAAGAGAAACTCCTGAGTTATCCTAGGTTTTTATTTTTAAATTGTGTTCAGGAAAGAAGGTAGAGACCATGCTGTTCATAAATAAAACAACAATATTTATAACTTTAAATATTTCTTCAGCAAAGTTAAGAAAATAATTAACTTTATTGAACCTTAAACTATTGCAAATCTCAAATTTGATGAGGACTACACAGTATTGGCTATATTCTTAAGAGTAGTTGAACATAAAGATAGCTTTGTAAAGCCTGTGTTTCATGTATAAATGTATACACATTTTCTCATCAGGATGCACCCGCTGCTGCTCGACAGCAGTTTTACACTGACATGTACTGTCCAGTCTGTTTACATCAAGCCTCCTTCCCTGTGGAAACAAACTGTGGACATCTCTTTTGTGGTAAGCAAGCAGTGCTGTACTTGGTAATAGTGACTCTTTGGACCAAGTCTCATATGTGGATTGCTCCAGATATCCTGCCCTACTTATCAGCCACTTTTACTTAGTGTCTCTGCGTTCAAAGATGGAAAAAACTAGTTATTCAACTTCTCAATAAACAGAAATATGTTTCTTTGAATAGTAATTTAGGTATATCAATACCAGGATGGATTGACTAATTGTTCATCACTTTTTAGGGTTTCATTTATTATCCATCTTTCCCAAGGCAGGACGGTTCTTCTCTCAAGGACCCTGCCCAAGACCTCTTAGCTCTACTATTTTTTAGTCTGAGTCAATACAGATAGTTCTTAGCCTCTTTTTTTTTTTAAATAAAGTTTGTGTTTCATTTAAGGGGCATTCAATTTTTAAAAATATATATTTTTTATTGATTTTTTACAGAGAGGAAAGGAGAGGGATAGAGAGTTAGAAACATCGATGAGAGAGAAACATCAATCAGCTGCCTCCTGCACACCCCCTACTGGGATGTGACCGCAACCCAGGTACATGCCCTTGACCAGAATTGAACCTGGGACCCTTCAGTCCCCAGGCCAACGCACTATCCACTGAGCCAAACCAGTTAGGGCCTTAGCCTCTCTTTCTTGACCTCAAGAGGTTTGGTGATGGAGAATGAGAAACCTAGAGCATGTAGTGGGACAAAAAGGCAATGTTGATTTCACTCTTACTTAGTATCAGTAAGAGGTGCTTTCTACCCTCCAGAAAGATTTCATAGAGAAGAATGAGATGCCATATAGTCATTGCTTGTTATGGTCATATGAGGTTGGGGAGAGTCAGTTATTACATGATAGTTAACATATTTCAGTTCACCTAACCCCATAAAACCAAGGCTCAGAGGTGTTAAGAAATTTTACAAGGTAAATCTAGCTGCTAAGGGACAGAGGTAGTTTTAAATGTACATCTAACTTCAAACTCTAGCTCAATTCTACTCTGATTGGTGGCTTATACAACTACTCTCTACTTAAGATTTATCCGATTTTTCATTGTAGTAATTCTTTGTTTGAACAGCTATATTCAAGATAGGATTCTAATTGCTCCCAAAATGCACACAATTTCCATATAAAGACTAATTTAAAATGTAGCATACAATGACCTTTTAAATTACTTTTGTTTAAGATTCATTATATAGAATTCTTAGGTATATAGTGTTACTGTTTATGTTGTTAGGGATGACATACGTATTTGAAATCCATACCAGGTACTGCAGGATTTTCTGTACCTGGTGCTAATTTAGTAAGTACTAACCAACCCCATTATTGCCTCATCCAGTAATTCCAACTTCTTTCTAAGGTTTTTGCCTAAGCAGCTAACAAATTATAATTATCTGTTGGAAATGCTAATGAGGAGCAAAATAATGAAAGATCAGATAGGGAGAATTAAATGGCCATCAGAGAAAGCAGATACTTCCCCCCACTCTCAAATCTCTGGTAGATATTCCTAATCAGTTGGACACTTTTTCTGAGTCTGGATATGGACTCCACCATCCTCTAACACAGTACTCCAGGCAAGTGTTAGGAATCACTGAGGTTTGGCAGGCAAGGTGAACTCTGTTTGCCAATCCAGGCTTAAGTAATTCATTGAGTGGATAACCCAGTCAATTGAAAGATGGCTGTATTGTGTTCTTGGTTTTACCTTTGGGTCTGAGGTAATAGGGTAGATTGCCTCTGATATCTTGCTCTACTTGTTAGACACTTTTATTTACTGTCTGTAAGTTCAAAGGTTAAGAAAACTAGTTATTCTACTTCTCAATAAACAGAAATGTGTTTCTTTGAATAGTATAGTTCAAGTATACTGATACCATCAAGAGCACTTTAGCTTAGTTTCTATATATGGAACTAGTTCTGTCCCTTTACGGGGAGTTAGAAATGATGCAGCAGCAGATTTTACCTTACTTGCCATTGTAGCCATCATTATTTTATTTAATTCTCCAGCAGTCTTATGAGGTCTTATTCCCATTTTACAGATAAACTAATTTAGAGAGATTGTGACCCAGATTAAAATAATTGAGTCATCTCTCCCACATCCTGTTTAGGTGGATCTCTCTTCTTAAAGAAGGGGAAAGTTGAGAAAAAGGAAACACATCAAGCATGTCATAGCAGATGTGTATGAACTGAAGTGTTTAATTTACTGGACCGTAGTTTCTCAGTACAGGCAAGTGGCTGTTATATAATTTGCAAAACAAGGACACCTACACCTCAATTTGTGGAAAAGAGATGTGGGATTAAATAAATTCAGCCCGGGCCAGGGTGGTTGGAGCGTTGTCCTGTGCACCAAAGGGTGGAGGGTTTGATTCTTGGTCAGGGCACATGCCAGGGTGGCGGATTCCACCCCACCCCCACCCCATTGGGATACATGTGGGAGGTGGCCGATTGATGTTTCTTTTTCACGTTGATGTTTCTCTCTCCCTTTCTCTCTAAAATAAATTAAAAAATGAAAAAAACATAAGCTCATGTGTCAAAACACATTGAACTTTTTGAGTTAGAAGGAGGAGATAAATCTAAGGCATTATTACAAATGGTAATAATAATACTAACAGATTTATAATAAGTTTTGCTTTAATATAGTTTCGATATGAAGTTAGATTGCTCAAAGTACTTAATATTATCTAACACAATACTCTCAAGAGTAGGGGGAAAGTATCAGATAAAAGATTGGTTAGCTTTTAAATTCATCTTTAAATTGTCAAACCAGTTTTTCCCCACAGTCACTGGAATGTCCAATTTGTACAGCTTTTGCTTAGCCCAGTGGTTTGCTCACCCGTCTCCTCTTCCATCCGTTTCTTCTTCTGGTGATTGTTCTTGCTATTCATAAAACCTGAAGCGTCCTCCCTCCTGATTTTTGCCCGTCTAAATTTTTGCTATCCTACAAAGTTCAAGTCTTTCTCCTTTGCAGGTTACTCTCTAGCACATCCCAGAAAGTTCTCCCTCTCTGTACTCCTTTTGTACTTAAAATTAATATTACACAGTTCAATATTTACATACCCTCTGATTGAATTAACTGTGTCACCTTGGTCTCCTCACTTTGATTGCCATTGCTTCTTCTAAATTCTGGACATTTATTTGATCTGGAAGAATCAGAATAAGAAACACAGGAGGCTAAGCTATGTTGCCAAGGCAAGAGTAAGAATACAGAGAAAACCCTGGAGGGAGGAGGGAGACATGAAGCACTTAGTTCAGATTCACAGTGGAACCTGGATGGTCTGCAGAAAGGAAAATGAATCAGACCCTTAAACATCAGAAAATATTTTAAAATATTTCTTCTTCATTGTTACTGGTCTAAAATGTAGTGCGTCTGCTTTCTGAGGTCTTCTCTTGGACTGTGCCTAGCTGTTTTGCTGCCCACAAACACCTTCAAGCAAAAAAATCAAACTCATCCAGTACAAAAGTGGATTCAATTACTGAACTGGATTATAAACTTTATTAGGGCAGAGAGCATGTAATCTGTATGATTTTGTTCCTTTTTCACACTACTTAATTACTGTTATTAATACTTAAGTAACTTGGCTTTCAAAACTCATAAAAAAGTAAGAATTGTGTTTTTGTAACATACTAGTATATATGAAATTTTGAACAGAAAATTTAGGCTGATTTTTTTGGTGTAATTTATACAATGATGTTTAATCATTGTTTTATTTACATAGGAAATGCAATCTTCTAATAAGCCTCAAAGCATTGAAGCAATTAATGCATGCTTGCTTTTGTCTAAAAATATCTATATCTTAACTGGTATTTTAAATAAAAATGTTTTTTAGCCGGGCCGGCATGGCTCAGTGGTTGAGCATCGACCTATGAACCAGGAGGTCTCGGTTTGATTCCCGGTCAAGGGCACATGCCCAGGTTGTGGGCTTGGTCCCCAGTGCGGGGCATGCAGGAGGCAGCTGATCAGTGATTCTTTCTCATTGTTGATGTTTCTATCTCTCTCTCCCTCTCCCTTTCTCTCTGAAATGAATAAAAATATGCTTTAAAAAATGTTTTTTAATAGCTGGGAATTGTTATTAGATTTGAATTTGCCTGAAGAGATGTTGGATGAAGTAAAAATAAATAAATAAATAAGATGACACTGTTCAAATATTTTAGGTATTTCAAACATCACTATTAATTTTTCCCCCTTTAGGTACCTGCATTATTGCATACTGGAGATACGGTTCTTGGCTTGGGGCAATCAGCTGTCCAATTTGTAGGCAAACGGTAATGTTTGTATCCAGAAAGCATCATTAATGCTAGTTCATTTTGTAAATCTTTGTAGTTTCTGTATCTGAATTCTGAATTATTTTGATATTTTTAGAATTTCCTTTATCCAAAGCTTCTATGATGTTATTCCATTATTTTTATGTCTTTAAGACACCTCAAAAAAAGGTAATCCCTTTGAAATTCTTCAGTTGTAGGAAAAACAAATGGTAAGTGCCTAGAAAGTCTTTGTTGTAATACCAGCAAAGTAATAGCTGAACTAGCTAATCAGGCTTAAGCAAATATCCCTCATATTTCTTATGGGAAAAAAAATGGTATTTCCTTTTTAACTTATTTTTAATCTGTCCTTCTCCAGTAAGGGTCCAGATAGCTTTAAATAATGAATAATTTTTTAACTGTTTTTTTTTTTGAAACATAACCACATTGAATTATCCAGAACAGATCTGACTGTTATAGTTAGTCTAGAGCTACCTCAGGAGGGAGGCAGTAAATTTTCATAAACATGTATTGAAGACTGAAATGTCAGCACAGATGGGATTGCCAGATTTTCTCTGTTTCTTTGACAAACTGGGAAAAGCAATATACTGAAAATTCTGAGAAACTGAAGTTCTTAGTTTATTTTAATTAGTAAATATAGCAAAATAGTCCAGAGACAGAGACGCATCGAACAGACAGTCAAACTTCAGAGGGAAGGTGGGGGGAAGGGGGAGTGCGGGTAAGAGATCAACCAAAGGACTTGTATGCATGCATATAAGCATAACCAGTGGACACAGACACTAGTGGGGTTAGGGCATGTGCTGGGGGGTTGGGGTGGCCCATGAGAGGTCAATGGGAAAAGGAGACATATGTAATACTATATGTAACACTTTAAACAATAAAGAATTTTAAAAAAAGATACGCAAAAAAAAGCTTATCTAATCATAAAAAAATATATAGCAAAATAGGACATTCTCTCAGTTGTATATAGTTTTTCATAATTTCCTTTTTATTTTATTTTTCATTTAAAATAAAAATATACACCTTTCTTATAATGAGTTATGAATATGTAAACAGACAGCATCTCCCTAGGAAGTCTTCTAGTATGTAAAATAAAGCCCTAAAAAGGATAGTTTCCAAGTAAAGATGTCAAATTAGATGTATATATTTACCTTTGCTCCCTCTTTTTTTTTTTAAATATATTTTATTGATTTTTTACAGAGAGGAGGGGAGAGGGATAGAGAGTTAGAAACATCAATGAGAGAGAAACATCAATGAGAGAGAAACATCTATCAGCTGCCTCTTGCACGCCCCCTTACTGGGGATGTGCCTGCAACCAAGGTACATGCCCTTGATCGGAATCAAACCTGGGACCCTTGAGTCCGCAGGCAGACGCTCTATCCGCTGAGCCAAACCGGTTAGGGCCCTTTGCTCCCTCTTATTACCCCACTAAAACAACAGTAAAGGATACATTTTTTAATATATATATTTTTTATGTTTAGAGAGAGAGGAAAGGAGAGGGAGAGAGATAGAAACATCAGTCGGGTGCCTCCTGCATGCCCCCACCAGGGATCAAGCCTGCAACCTGGGTATGTGCCCTGACCGGGAATTGAATCGGCACCTCTTATTTCATAGGTTCACACTCAACCACTGAGCCACACTCGCCAGGTGTAAAGGATGTTATATAAAGACACAAACCCACAGACACCAAAAAATAAAACAAAATGATATGAGAGGTGACAATTTTTCAAAAATTCTTTGTAAAATATGACAGACATACAGAAAAAACCACACTAAACAAAGAAGTACAGCTCATTGAATTATCACAAAGCAACTCTTGAGTCATCATCACTCAGGTGAAGAAACAGAAATTGGCCAACAGCCCCAGAAGCCTCCTCATGACACCTCCCAAATCTTCAACCCTTCTTCCTCTCCTATAGGCAACTTCTGTTTCACTTTTATCATAAGCATTTCCTTGATTTTCTTGGTTTTATTATCTTAGCATACATCTCTAAGATTATTTAGTTTTATCTGATTTTTGGAATTTAAGTAAAACCATATGGTTTACACATACGCGCGCTCGCGTATATATGGGGGGGGGGGGGCAAAAGTAGATTTACAGTTGTTCATATGGAAAATAATACAATAATTAAAAAATAATAATACAAGAATAAACTCAGTGTCTCACATACTCATAACTGGAAACCTTTTGCCCACTCCCGTATACCTTTCAGCCTTTGTCCTAACTCTACTTCTCTCCATTACTGCCTTCATCTTTGGTGTAGGGGAGGTTCAGGGCTTTCTTTTCTTTCCTTCTTCCTTCTACATTCCCAAATTCTGTCTCTTTCACATTTGACTCTTTATCATATGGTCAGGTGGAAAATCTTTTGGGTTTTTTTTTTTTTTTATACTGCCTCTCTGGATGATTTTATATCTGACACAAAGCAATCAACACTGAAACTTATTTGCACTATCACCTTTCATCATCTTTAACTATCTGCCAGCCACACTGAGACCAGGCCCTAGGTCCTGTGTTAAAGAATTAGTTCCACCACCCGCAGCTTTTCGCAGGGTATATAGAAGTTATCAGGTGGTATCCTTTGGCCCACCCATAAATTGGCTAGAGGCTAGAAAGATGGAGATAAAGTTGTTTCAATATAATAGCTTTTGGTTTTCTAACTATAGAGTAATTCATCCTGGAGGCAAGACAGGCGGCAGATACCTGCTTCACTTCCTGTTTCCCTGGAAATAATAACGCATAGGCTGATGCCTCTGGCTAGAACACACTCACCATTTCCCTCTGTGAACGCATACACTAACACACGCATGGTCCTACCTGTGTTTCAAGGGCTAGCTTAAGTTTCAAGATCTCTGGACACTGCAGGGAGAAGTTCTTACTTTCTCGAGCACCATTATAACACCTACCACAGTGCCTTAGAATAGGCTGTTGAACAGGTCTGCCTCCCCTTCTATCTTGGGATTGTGATCACCAATGGGCAAGGCCATGTCTTCATTTTTTTTTTGTATATCAAGCACTTAGCACAGTGCCACAATAAGGTGCTCAATTAATATTTATTTAAAGAGTGCACTTGACAGATTCGTGAAGAGATAACAGTACGTGCTCTTCCTTCTACTGCCTGCTGTTAGTCACTCCTTTGTTCAGCTGTTGGAGAGTATGTGGGTACTGGGAAGCCCAGGTTTTACAGCTGAACAGAGGAAGGACAGAAACAACTGCTGGCCTTGGCCAGTGTGGCTCGTTTAGAGCATTATCCCGTACCCTGAAAGGTTGTGGGTTCAATTCCCAGTTGGGGCACATACCCAGGTTGCAATTCGGTCCCTGGTTGGGGCACATATGAGAGGCAACAGGTCCATGTTTTTTTCTCTCTCCCTTCCTCTCTCTGAAGAAAAATAAACAACCAACAAGAGCTAGATGACTCAAACCTAAATCTGTCATTGTACAGCAACCATTTCTATCGGGGTTTTCAAGGTCTACATCAGGGGTCCTCAAACTTTTTAAACAGGAGGCCAGTTCACTGTCCCTTAGACTGTTGGAGGGCCGGACTATAGTTTAAAAAAAAAACTATGAACAAATTCCTATGCACACTACACATATCTTATTTTGAAGTAAAAAAACAAAACGGAAACAAATACAATATTTGTATTTGCATGTGGCCCGCGGGCCGTAGTTTGAGGACCCCTGGTCTACCTCTTCAGATTACCCAAATGTGGTCCTGGGATATTTGTGTATCCTCACCTTTACCATGAAGGAAAATGGGTTAAATGTACTATGTTATATAACAGTATCAAGAAGGAACTTTTTTTATTGTAGCAGGGCTAGGTGTTTGAGAACGTCCTTGCACTAAGTTAATCCTTGTATTATGGTTGGTAATATTCAAATACCAGTGAGGATAAGGAGTCATGATTTTAATCAAAGAAGAGATCCCCTGTTTTTCTCTCTCCAGGTGATATATATATTTTACGTCACTTTGCTCCCGAATGTTTTCTCATCATTCTTACATCTTCAACTGTAGAGAAGTACTGACTTTTTTCCTAGTCTGGACTGGAAAATATTAGAACCAGTGTTTGGATAAGGTGCCCGTTTTATTTTATAGATGTTCAAATTAATTTTGCACTGGATTTTATAGTAGGCAGTGATCTTACTTTCCTCCCCTGTGTTGCCTTTATTAAAGGAAATGAGTGAAATATAAATTCAAAAGTTTCTCTCATTTTACTGAATAACACAAAATGGAAAAAAAAACACCATGAATGCTGCAGAAAGGTATAACTTTTTTTTCTGTAATATTATAGGTAACTTTATTGCTACCAGTATTTGGTGAAAATGACCAGTCTCAGGAAGTTGTATCATTGCTTCAAGATATTAGTGATTATAACCGGAGATTCTCAGGGCAGCCCAGATCTGTAAGTAACATTATAGCAGGTACAAAGTTAGAGGGAACAAAGTGAAAGTATAATGATACTTCTCTTTGGTAAAGTGAGCTTTACCAACAAATATTCTTTGACTATGAAAAACCTCATTGTTTACGTGTGTTGGGTAAAGTTTTTGCTTTCATCAGTGTTGTCATTCATTGAGTTACAGCTTTCCCAAGAACTACAGTGTTTCTATCTTAAAAAAAAAAAGGCATTGTAAAAGCCTTTTATGAAAGAGATACCTGCAAAAAAGCAATAGGAAAAATTGGAGGGAGATGTAAAATTATCAACTCCTCTATGATTCTAAAATAGGGTTTGTTTTATGAGAAAATTACAACTGAGAACTGCTGGAGAGTTTTACACTTGTGTTTTACTCAAGTTATTTACCCTAGCCCCTGTTTGAAATGTTCCTTTAAGTAACCCTCTGTGTTATCTTAGCTATTCAAGAACATTCTACTTTTAAATAACATTAATTCTACAGTTGACCCTTCCCCTTAAAAAAGGCATTTGATAGATTAAAAATTGTCATGTTTTATTGTCTCATTCAAGTTTTCTCAAAATCTAACAGAAATCTAGAAGTGTATGTATGACTGAATATGTATTTCAAAAACCAGAATATACTAAGTACAAATTTAATGCATATATGGAAAGCACGGACCTCTCCTCCGAGCTCTAGACTTTGTATATCAACTGCTTAGCTTATATCTCCACTTGGATGTTCCATAGGCCTCTCAGACTTAACATGTATAATATTGAACTGATTCCCTCCCTAACTCAGTTAACTCTTTTCTCACTCTTACCGAGCTCCCCCTCCCCTCAATCCCCTCATCTGATCTGTAAATAAGTCATACCATTTCTTGTCTTTTGGGGGACTCCTGTCATTTTTACTTTATAAAAATGTCATGTCTCTGGCTATTATATTAGTCAAAGTCACCATCATCTCTTGCTTAGGACAGTTACCGTGGCCTCTTCACTTTGATGTTTTTCTCTGTGTAGCAGGCCAAGTAATGTTTTTAAAACATAAGTAAGGCCATGATGCTTTTGTATTTTAAAATTTGCAATTTTTTGGCCTGGCTGGTGTGACTCAGTGGTTGAGCATTGGCCCATCAACCAAAAGGTCACGGTTTGATTCCTGGTCAGGGCACATGCCCAGGTTTTGGACTCAGTCTCCAGTAGGCAGTGTGTAGGAGACAGCCAATCAGTTTTTCTCTCTCATCGATGTTTCTCTCTATCCTTCTCCCTTCCTCTTTCTAAAATCAATGTATTTTTTAAAACCTTGCCGTTTTTTGTAATAATGTTCCATCCAACTCCTTACTGTGGCTTCCAAGGCTCTGCATGACTTGGTTCCTCCTTCCCTCCCTAACCTCTTGTGTCACCCTCCCCATCCCTCACCATACTTTACACTGGCCTCCTTTCAGCTCTCAGAACAGCTCCCAAGTCCCTCCACATAAAAGCCTTCACATGTGCCATTTCCTGTTTGGAATGATTGTCCCTCTGCTCTTCCCATGGATGACTTCTCATCCTTCAGGTAGTTGTTAACTGTTTGAATCCCAAGCAGCGCAATCGCGCTGCTGAGATTTTATGTCGAGAAAACATACGATTCGTTTGAGTCCCAGGGGGTATTGAAAAAACACTGTCGAAGAATCCCAAACAGCGCAACCGCGCTTTCTCTAAATGAGTACGAAAAGACCCAAACAGCGTGATAGCGCTTGTTTTATTTTATGTCGAGAAATACCAAGCAGCGCGATTGCATGCTTGGGACTCAAACGGTTAAATAGGCTGAGGCAGAGGTCCTCAAACTTTTTAAACAGGGGGCCAGTTCACTGTCCCTCAGACCGTTGGAGGGCCGGACTATAGTTTAAAAAAAAACTATGAACAAATTCCTGTGCACACTGCACATATCTTATTTTGAAGTAAAAAAACAAAACGGGAACAAATACAATATTTGTATTTGCATGTGGCCCGCGGGCCATAGTTTGAGGACCCCTGGGCTGAGGCTTTCCATGACAACTAAGGTATTCTCTATTATTGCCCTCTGTACATTCCCTTCATAGCATCCGTCACAAAGGGCACTCATGACTTGTTCCTTGTCTTTCTCTCCGTAGACTAAAAGCATCATGAGAGGAACGACTGGGTTTATTTACTCAGTACTGTATTCTCACTGTGAAATTCAGTGTCTGGGATACAATAGGCCCTTAATGTTCATTGAGAAAATTAATGAATTATCCTTAAATTAAGAATTGATACTACTACTCCCAGCCAAGAATATAAGCTATTGCTCTGACCGGGTGGCTGAGTTAGTTGGAGCATCATCCTGTATATCAAAAGGTTGTGGGTTTAATCCCTGGTCAGGGGCGTGTACGGGAGGCAGCTGATCGATGTTTGTCTCTCACATTGATGTTCTTCTGTCTCTCTCCCTCTCCCTTCTTCTCAATAAAAACATATCCTTGGGTGAGGATTAAACAAACAAAAAAAAACATGAGCTATTAAAATGCTTTAGTGATAAACAACTAGTGCTCTTATACTCCCTTGCTCATATTCCTTATTCTGTAATGTCATGTCTATTTAAAGGTATACAGTTTCATCTGTTGTGGATGATAATGGTTAAATATTAGATGTTGAAGCAACAAGAAAAACAATCCAATTATTCTTGTCCTCCTTAGTTACTTGGGAGCCTCTTCTGCTATTTTTTAAAAATACATTTTTATTGATTTCAGAGAGGAAGGAAGAGGGAGAGATAGAAACATCAGTGATGAGAGAGAATCATTGATCAGTTGCCTCCTGTACTCCCCACACTGGGGGTTGAGCCCACAATCTGGGCATGTGCCCTGACTGGGAATCTAACCTTGACCTTCTGGTTCATAGGTTGACACTCAACCACTGAGCCACACCAGCTGGCCCTCTTCTGCTATTTTCCATCCAGCACTTTAACATATCCTTCAGTGACACCTGTAGGATGATTCTTTGAGAAATCAATGTTTCAAATTCAAGAACTACCACTGGACTTTAAAAAAATCATTTTAAGATATTCATGTTTTTAAGTGTGAAACATACCATTGCTCAATTCTTATTTTTGTGTGTGTTAGGTATGTATTTAATGAGTAAGAAAGCTTGGTATGTGATGAAATTACAATTTAATAAAGACATTTAGCTCTTACTTTGATATTACCTCATTCAAAGTTGGAGTAAGATTGTGATTAATATACAAACATTTCTTAGTAACTCATTTCATATTTCTTGTCTAATTAGATTTTATATAAATGATGCCATATGAGCAGTGAAAAATAGCTGTGATAACAGAAAAGTATTTGTTAGAATATTTAAAGTAATTTACCATAGATCTTGTAAAAACTGAATAGGTGTTTTACTTTAAATATTGATTTCTTCCATAGAGAATAGAATAGAAAATTAACGTAGGAAGTGATTCTAAAAAGACCATTTTTGTTCTTTTGTGACCAGTTTTCCAAAAGGATTTACAAGATTTTCTTTATCTGGTGTTTTTTTGAAACTTTTTTCTGCCTTGGCCAGTGTTGCTAAGTGGTTAGAGTGTCAGCCTGCATACCAAAAGGTCACGGGTTCAATTCCCAGTCAGGGGCACGTACCTGGGTTGCAGGTTCAATCCCTGGCCCCATTGAGGTGTGTTGCGGGAGGCAACCAATAGATATGTGATGTTTCTCTCTCTCTCTCCCCGCCTCCCAACCTCCTTCCCACTATTTCTAAAAATCAATGGAAAAATATTCTGGGATAAGGATTAACATAGAATAAAATAAGACTGTTTTCTCATCACTTACTCAATTATTCCTATTTTTGTCTCTATCTCCCTCTCAATTATTTGACACTTAAACAAAATATATACAATAGAGTTGGACTTATGACATTTATACAGATTGTTAAAAATAGCAGCTGAACTGTGGGCAGTGGAATGACCACAGGAAGTGATCTGCTTCCTCTGGTCAGTTTCTCTTGCATCTACCAACCCCTGGATAATAAGATAATGAAAGAAGTTGAAGAGTCATGGTAGGTCATTAATACACAGGACCTTACTGGTAGATCATATAGTCAACTAATAACTACACAAAACAACTGAGAAGTTTGGAGTCGGAGAATAAACTGGCTTGCTAAAGGTCATACAAGTACAGGGTGGGGTAAAAGTAGGTTTACAATTATTTGTATGGAAAATACAGTAATTAATAAATAAGAATTATATTTTGTGCACCCACAACTGTAAACCTACTTTTGCCCTACACTGTAGATATTGGGACTATCTTTTAAAAGCTTTATTTAGAAGTAATTTACACGCCAGAAGCCTGTTTTAAAGTATATAATGCAATGACTTATAGTATATTTAGGGTAAATATAATCTAATTACCACTATGATATAATTTTAGAATATTTCATTCTCTGAAAAGCTTTAATATTCTCTTACCATTATCCTCAGCCCTTCCCCTCTCCCAGTCCTTGGAAACCACTCATCTATTTTCTGTCTCTATAGATTTTCTATTCTGGGTGTCTCATCATTTTATTTGAATGAGATCATACAATATATGGCCATTTGTCTCTGGCTTATTTCACTTGGCATGTTTTCAAGGTGCATCCATACTGTAACATATCTCAGTACTTCATTACTTTTTGATGTATTTTTTTTTATTTTTCAATTACAGTTGACATACAATATTATATTAATTTCAGGTGTACAACATAGTGATTATACATTTATATAATTTACAAAGTAATCACCCCAGTCGGTCTAGTACCCATCTGCCACCATATACTTGCTAGAATATTATTGACTATATTCCCTATGTTAGTACTCCATTGCTTTTTATGGCCGAATAACATGTCACATTTTGTTTATCCATTCGTGAGCTGATGGACACTGGAATTGTTGCCATTTTTTGTCTATTATGAATTATGCTTCCATTAGCTTGTCTACCAGTTTTTGTGTAGATGTGTTTTCATTTTTATTGAGTATATGCCTTGTTGTGCAGTTGTTGGATATTATAACTGTTTAACATCTCGAGGAACTGCCAAACTGTCTCCTAAGGGGCTCTGCATTCCCACCAACAGTGTATGAGGGTTCCAGTTTTTCCACATCTTAAACATTTATGTCATTTGTTAAATTTCAGCTGTCAAAATTTTGCTCATTTATGTAAAAACCTAGTGTCTGATGTGTGTTTCTGTACATATTTAGAAACTTAATCATTTTCAGAAAGGTGGGGCTTGGTATTCCAAAAATCTTTGTAGCAATTAGTGTTCACTTAATCTCAAGCTAAGCAGAATAAACATCCTAAGAAGGGATCACTTTCATTGCTATTCTTAGACTGTCAAAGCCATTAACTTTGTGTGTCTTTAATGGGTAATATATATTGTTTGGCAGTTTATGAAGGTCATTTATATACAGTATCTCTTTTAGTTCTTGAAAGTCCTCATGGTACATAAATACTGAATTAGTTGATGACCTATCACTAGTAGGTTAAACAAGTTTCCCCAAGGTCATCCGGCTAATAAGTGATTGACTTCGAATTCAAACCCAGATCTGTCTCACTTTAAAGCTGAGACTTGACCTCAAGCCTCAGACTCTAATCCGATACAGTCCTTTCTTCGTTTAGATTACTAATTCATATTAGAGATAACTGAAGTTTTACCTTATTATGTCCTATATTTTAAGTTTGTTGACATTTTAGTTGCTTTTCAATTATCTGCAAGGCCTATTTTATAGGAACCTAGCAATCAAAGAACTATTTTTAAATAAAATGATAACTAGAAAATATGATATTCAATCAGTATGTGAAACTCAATAGTTCATGTTAACTGAGTTTGTCTGCACTTTGTAGGAAAATTATATTATTTGTAAGCCTGACACATTAGATGCCAAATCATAATATTTGTTCTTCCTCCTACCAGATTATGGAAAGAATTATGGATCTACCCACTTTACTGAGACATGCATTCAGGGAAATGTTTTCAGTCGGGGGCCTTTTCTGGATGTTCCGTATCAGGATAATACTTTGTTTAATGGGAGCTTTTTTCTATCTTATATCACCTCTAGATTTTGTACCTGAAGCCTTGTTTGGAATTTTAGGCTTTTTAGATGATTTCTTTGTCATCTTTTTGTTGCTTATCTACATCTCTATTATGTATCGAGAAGTGATAACACAGAGACTAAACAGGTGAAAAAAGAGTTTACTAAAATATGAGCTAATGTGTAAAATCAAACAAAAGGACTGACCCATGGCAGTGTAATGCATTTGAATAGTATCTTACAAACTTAAAACCACTGTATGACAAACATTTGATTATCATTTGGCAAATAACTAGCAACGTATGACTGGAATTTTTACATGTTGCAGGTTCTAATATTAGGGTTAGCATTATAATAATTTACAACTGTATCTTGATTGTGTTGTCTATTAACTCTCTGGAAAAAAACATGGAATTATATAAAAAGGGATGCTTTTTTTTATATCTTCTTCTTTCCCCCCAAATTACTCAGATTAATTGGATGTATAGTAAGATATTGTTAAATGTATACTTTATCCAATTTTTCCTTCTCAGTGAGTACCTATATAATAATATATTGCAATGAGATGCATCTAAATATTTTTATTACAATAAAATATTGCACAATATTGGGCAAAAGTCAGTGTTTCTTTTAGTACTAAGTTTTATACATTTGGAGCAGTTCTGCTTTTCCATTCTAAGTCTTTGTTATCAGTTGAAAGTGAACGAAAACTTGAACTTTATAATCAGGTTTCACATCTGGTTTCCAGAATACTAGAAGAATTAACAAGATATAAGACATTTATCTCTAGTCAGCACACTTAGTTCTCAGTTATGGCACTTACACAGGAGTTTGGTCCTTTTATAGGAACAGTGTATCAAAGGAACTTGTAAAGGGATTGTTTTTTCAGGAACCTGGGTGGTACTGTAAACGCATCATAGTTTGATGCATTTCTGAGGGAAGTGGTTCTTCATGGCTTGAGCTTTAAAGACCTTAGGAGGGTAGACCTTAAATCTGACAAATTACTGGGAGCTACATAACAGAATGGACAAATTTGGTTAGTTTTCTCTTGACAGAAAACTTGCAATACTCACTCTAGATGGCAGCAGATAGCCCAAATTCATCAAGTCTTAGGAAGAATGAGCAAATGTCCAAGGTGGTTCAATAGGAAAGTTATCTTGGTTTATTTAATGGCTACAGCATAAGTATCAAACGCTCTCTTCTGCAGTCTTCCGTTTGAGGAGAACCAAAACCACAAGTATTATGAAATCCTCGCTCCCTCAGCTGGCAATGCTCATTAGCAAACTGGACAGCAGAGTGGAGCTGATGCCCAGGGGTGTTAGCTCTGGCCCCTGCAGTCACTGACAGTCATACTGTCCACTCAGGTATTAGTGAGCCTCACCGTGTATAGATAGGCCAAAAAAATCTGTCACAGTGTTCCAAATTAATCTAATTGCTATTAACGAATAAGATTCTGAGTAAAATATCAATAATAGTGTTTTCTAATTTGGGCCTAGGACAAAACTATTGCTTGTCAGAGGCAAAAATAATAATGCTTAAATACAGCACATAATAATTTAAGCAATTTCTCATACTTTTCTTTTCATCCTTAAGACAGCATGTGAATAAGGCAGGGCATTGTCTTCCTTTTTTATAGGTGAAATCCCTATTACAGATGTCAGGTTTTTTCGTCTGAAGCCATGCACAAATAAGTGACTGAACTGGTATTAGACTCTTGCATGGGTTCAGATAAACGTGAAGGTTATTACCAAGGGGTGGAGCTGGAGCGAACCTGGGGTCATCGGGAATCTTTTAGAACACACTGGAGTAGGATAGCTTAGGTGCTCCTAAGAGAAAAAGTGCAGAAAGATGACGTATCAAGACTTCATGAATCATAATTTTATACTTCCAAATCAAACGTCTAATTGGGTGGCATACATACATCACAGAAAAACATTTCAGCTGCAGGTACCAACTTGAAAAACTAATGAGTAGGAATTTTTTACACCAGACTGGAAATGCATTTCCTACCAATTACAAATTTGATGTGGGCTATATAACAATATCATTTTTTAAAGGATTTCATTTTCTGTGCATATTATAAGACTTTCCTGGTAGAGGTAACATACAAAAACACTATATGATCTGAAGTCTTATTAAATTGAAAGGGAAACGTGGACATCTCAGAATTTTGAACTGCTTATTATGTCATCTGTATTGATCACTGATAATAAATGTAGGTGATATCTGAGAAAATATTTAAGCAAGTAGAGTCAATCAGTGTTTTAAACACAGTAACCCTTCTATAACTCAGAGTGAGGACATATAAATCAAAGCAACAATTTGAATTTTTGTGAACAACAATATTGTAACTTGCACAAAAATACGGCCCAACCCCAGGAGCAGGTAACCTGGGTAGGTCTGTGGAAACAAGACTGAGAAACAACTGTCTTCACTGCCCACTAGCACAGGGGTTTCAGCTCCCAGCTCCCAGCGTCTGAAAGCGACAGGGGAAGAAAGGACCGTGCTGGTCCCTGTGGCTGTGCAGACACCTACCTCACAGAGTTGTTACAGAGGATTGGCGGTTTGGTTCACACTTTGTGATTTCAGAATTTGTCAAACACTTATTCTTTTGAATAAAAGCAATGCATCTAAAATTTAAAAGCAGCTGGTATTTTCCTGTTTCTTTGATAGTTTGCTTTAACATTCAGAACTCCTGAAATAGCATTCAATATAATGTTCGCAATGACTTTTTCATGAATGGACATCCAATACCTCATCACATTTCTAATGAAGTTTCCTTAGATGTTTTTAAATTTAAAAAGCAGAAGTGTTTTTGTTTTTGAGGAAAATTGCTTAATCTGGGTAAATCTGTATTAATTCTGGACGAGAAGGGTGGAATTGAAATTAGAGATTAGGCTTGTATCCTGATTCCCCACTCTTGAGTGTATATTTGATAACTGAAATGATCTTTTCTGAGTCTGTGCCCTTATGTCTGCATAACACTCATTCCATTCCATTCCCTTCTCCCTGAAACCATAAATGTACTCCCGGCTCTTCTGTTTTGCTAAATAGCAACCCATAAACCTGGGACTGGGTCAGAATAGGAAAGGGCACTCAAGGTTTGAAGGCCCTAAGGCTTTTCTCCCAGGACCAGGCTGGTAGGCTTTAAGGGCTGCTGGTAATCACAGAGATAAAGACAATCATTGAGCTTCTGTTGTTCCGTCAGAACCAGACCATTTTCATGGCATCAGTATTTGTTTTAAGCATCGAGTCCTTGACTGCAAGCAAATTTGAGATGTTATCAGGCACTGTCATCTTCATCTGTCCATACCCTCTGATGGTCCCATGTCCCAGAGCGGTACAGGAGAGGATTACACACTGTCCGAAAACACAGAGCATGTTTGGATATTCTCCTTCATTCTTCATCGGACTAGTGGTATTCAGCTACAGGCCTTTTGAGGGAAATGTAATATGGGATGTAGGAGAGGGCTAAGGGCTAAAGATGTTTTAAACTCACTGGTATCTAATAGATTTTTATTTTTTTTAAAAAAAACAAAAAATTTAAAAACTATTTAAAGATATAATATTCAGATCAAGACATCCACCCTCTAATTAGTCTTAGGGAAAACCTATAATTTATATCTACATGACAATTAATCTTGTTTCACTAATCCTAGAATATTAGAGATGTAAGGGTCCTTACAAATTGGCTAGTGTTTGTACTTTCTCTGTGAAAATCAAATGAAAGCTATGGACAGCTCCCCAGAAAAATGCATATATACACATGTATGTATACTTTTTATTCCTTTTCAGGGGACTCAAGACCTGAACATTGTGGATTCTAAATTAAGAATTCTTCATTTAGTCCTACAGCCTTACTCCATAGATGAAGATAAGGAGGCCCAGAGAGAGAATGAATGCAAAGGTATTTTCTAAAATACAAATGGTTTATAGGAAAAAAACACAGCTGGACAGAAATTAAAATCTAAACTGTTAGATATCAGCGAGTTTAAAAACATCTTGAGCCCTCTCCTATGTCAAAACAAGTGGCTTATTTTTCTTCAGTTTATCAAACACGATAAAGTTTATCCTAGAATAACTGTAATAAAACTTACTCTTTAAATGTCAATGTATAATTTCCTTAAAAAGTATTTTAATAGTAAATGCATTAAATTTTGAAAAGCATCAAACTTCTAACTACCCCTCTTCAGTTTATCCCTATTTATTATCTTTCCCTCAAATGGTCGTATAAGACATATATTCACTTTTTTAATATTTACTGAAGGGGCCAAATGAGCATATAAATATGTTATTCTCTTAAAAAAGGGCAGTTTTGCCCTGATCGGTTTGGCTCAGTGGATAGAGCCTCAGCCTGTGGACTGGAGGGTCCTGGGTTTGATTCCCGTCAAGGGCATGTACCTTGGTTGCCGGCGCATTCCCAGTGAGGGGGGGAGGGGGAAGGGGTGTGCAGGAGGCAGCTGAATCCATGTTTCTCTCATCAATGTTTCCAACTCTCTATCACTCTTTCTCCCTTCCTCTCTGTAATTTTTTTTTTTAAAGGGCAGTTTTGCAAATCTTATGTGGCCCTTCTTGGCTTACAGTGGTTCTCAACCTTCTGGCCCTTTAAATACAGTTCCTCATGTTGTGGTGACCCCCAACCATAAAATTATTTTCGTTGCTACTTCATAACTGTAATGTTACTACTGTTAAGAATCGTAATATAAATATCTGATATGCAGGCTGGTCTTTGGCGACCCCTGTGAAAGGGTCGTTCGACCGCCAGAGGGGTCGCGACCCACAGGTTGAGAACCGCTGGAAAAGCTGTTTTACTAAAGTGGAACGTCAAACATTTTAGAAATCATAAAGGTCACTGATTACCATAAAGTGCGCAGTTTGACCATCACTTCAGTCAACAGGCACATTACCGCGGTCCCACCAGCCGCCCTTCACTGCCTCTCCGCAAAAGTAACCTCTTCTGACCTCCGTTTTGCCTACTTTTTTATTCCTTTACAAAAAATAGAATCACGTAGTATATTTTGTCTGACTTTTGTAAGAACCTCCCATAGTGATGGGCCCCAGCTTCTTTACTTTGGTTGCTATGTGGTATTCCATCGTATACCACCGTTTATACATTCAACTATTAATGGGAACTGGGGTTTCTACAAACCATGATCAGTGGCCGCCCTTGTAAAGAAATCGGCGCCATAACCCAGCGACCTCAGCTTTACACCAGTCCTCCCTTAAACCAGCTGACCCCACAGACCGCACGGCTCCCCACGCTAACCCGCCCGATGAACCAGCCCGAGAAAAGCAGGAGACGCGGAGCCCGATCCTACAGTTCCGCTCCGCTCCCCTCCCCGCCTCTTGCGAGCACTTCCTTTCTCCCTTCCGGAAGGTCGCAGGCCCGCCCACTTCCGCAACGCTGAGCCCGCCGCCGCCTCAACCAATGGCCTGCTTCCCAGGGAGCGTTACTTCTGACCTCAAAGCTAATCGGAAAGCGCAGGACGAACTCCTCGCGAGAGCTGAGGTTGAAGCTGCCTCCGCCATCTTGGAGATGGGAGACGGGGGATGGTTGTGGTCCTTCTGCTAATGCAAACAACAAAACGGGCACATTAGGCGCCCCGGACGGAGGCGATCACCACTGTGACTGTTGGCCAAAGCTACACGAGAAGCGAGAGTGTCAAAGCCGAGAGCAGCGACATTGGTAGCCAACTCACCTGCCTGCTGGGGCGGCAGAAGTGAGACGGCTGAGGACTGGAAGGATGGTGCAGTCCTGCTCCGCCTACGGCTGCAAGAACCGGTATCATAAGGATAAGCCTGTTTCTTTTCACAAGTAAGTACCCCTTCGCCTCCGCTCGGGCTGGGGGCGCGCGGCCGATTAGGCTCGGGGGCGGGGCCAGGCGCGTGTCCGCGCGAGACCCAGCGAGAGGGGCGTCGGCAGGGGCGGGGCGCGGCCGTGCGCTCCTCGGGGTCGGCCCCGCGCAGGGCAGCGGGCGTGCCCGCCCGGTGTCGGTGCCCGCGCCCCCCGCCGTTGCCGGCTGCGCGTTCTCGGCGCGCGTCGCCGCCGCTATCGGCGACCGTTCCTCGCGCCTGAAATCCGGCCCCTGCGCGAGGCTCACTCGCCGCAGGGAGTTGGAGTGTTCGGGCCCCGCTGGTCGTGAGGCCGAGAGGAAGTGCTGGCTTTCCCCACCCGGCCATGGAGAAGCCGGGTGGTAATGAATTACTCTTTAGAAGTAAATTTGAAATTTAAACAAGGGACCTGTAGCCCTAACCGGTTTGGCTCAGTGGATGGAGCGTCGGCCTGCGCACTGAAGGGTCCCGGGTTCGATTCCGGTCAAGGGCATGTACCTTGGTTGCGGGCACATCCCCAGTGGGGGGTGTGCAGGAGGCAGCTGATCGTTGTTTCTAACTCTCTCTCCCTCTCCCTTCCTCTCTGTAAAAAAAAAAGGGGGAGGGGGGACCTGTAAAACAAAGTCACTCTGTTTTGTGGATGGGAGGCCAGCATCCTTGAGGATTGGTTTTTGGCCAGGATTTCAGGGAGGATGGGTGGGTTGCAGTTTCTAGGAGCCACCTCGAAGGGCCTCTAAGTGTCACCGCTGCAGGGGTCACATGGAGCACAATCCTGCGGACCGCGACCCGGTAAAGGTCCGCGTGAGCTCCTGCAGGTGCCCGGGGAGCCCTGGGAGGAGAACCTGCCCCGCAGCGCGCAGGGCTGTTTTACCCAAAAGGTGCTGCAGTCAGGGTCCTGGAAGAAAAACGTTCTCTTGAAAATGAAACCGCAAAGTGGAAATGACTTAACTGATACTCAAATATCTGCAAAGTGTGACACGATGGCATTTTATTTCAGCCAGACTCAGTACAGTATTTTCAGATTTTACTACATTCACATTAGGACGTTTTTGCAAAAATTCCTGACTGTAAAGGTTGATAGCTAAGAAATTAAAGCCGGTGGTAAGTTATGTGAATTTTTCATAGCTCAATGATTACACAAGCAACATGTTAAATATTCTTTCAGCTTTTTTTTGGGGGGGGGGGGGTCATTTATGTTGAACAGAAGATGTGGATGCATTTTTATGGTTTTGATCTGGTATGAGAGGGACCATACAAGTACATAGATCTTGAGTGCTGATGTTTCCCTCTTCTGAGAAGGGAATAGAACACTAACACTTTAGGATTCAGTTCAGGATGTCCTAATTACCACCCTTGATTATTGGGATTTCCAGAAGCGGATGAATTGACAACCTCTCCCGTGTAAGCATCGGTCAGGAGACGGTGACTACGTTTGTTCAGCTCTCTGCTTCCCATTCTAATGAGACAGCAGAAGGGACCTAAAAATATGGAAAACCCTTCCTGGGCTCTGGGAGCTGGTGAGGATGGTGGTCATACTCAGAAATACCGAGTTTCTGCTGAATCCAAAGGAGTAACCTACCTCTCATCCTTTATCTAAAAGAACAGATTTTGGGGAAAGCTCTTGAGCGAACCCCACAAACAACCTGAGCGCTTGTAATCCTTGGCGTTGAAGTTTGCCGGTGATTGCGACCATGTTTGTACTTGTAGAAGCCATTCTAGCAGGGATCTTCCAGGAATCCTTCTTTTCCCCGTGGGAGAGCTCCGTTGGACAAAGGGACTGTCGTAAGGGTTCATTAGATCTTCATGTCAGTAGAGTGAGGCGCTGGCATACCTTACGTGGAAGAGAAACTGGAAAAATAAAATCACAATAAATTTAAACTCTTCCTACGTCCCTTTATCTGGGCCTAATTGACATTGAATAGGTTAAGAGGTAAATCAAAATAAATAACCTTTTGTTTCTTTATTATAGTGATTTAATATAATTTGATTAATTCATATTTGTCAGACTGTTTCTAAGAACTAGAATCTTCTTTTTCTCAGCCTGTAGATATAAACATGCAATTTTGCTTTACAGTGAACAGAAAATCACTGGTAAAATAATTAATACAAATTCATCCTATAGAATGTATTTTACTTGAAATTTTCAGTGTCTTCAATATAAAAAGTAAACAATAATAAGTGAGAGATTAGAGAGCTACACGATTTACCCTTGTGTATTTAGATGTGTATGGAATACCTGTATCTGTTAGCGAAAGTTATTTACTATAATGGTGAGGGGGGGGGACAGATATTACACATTTGGGCCCTCCACCCCGAACTTTTCTTCAGCTACCCTTCCCACTGCATGCATCCATCAACATGGCTAACTTTTTTTTTTTTCAATAATATATTTTTATTGATTTCAGAGAGGAAGGGAGAGGGGAGAGAGAGAGAAACATCAATGATGAGAGAGAATCATTGATCGTCTGGCTCCTGCACGCCCCCTATTGGGGATCAAGCCCACAACCCCGGGCATGTGCCCTTGACCCTTCAGTCCTCAGGCCGATGCTCTATCCACTGAGCCAAACCAGCTAGGCAGGGCTAACTTTTAATCCGTATATTTTTACGTTCTGTAATTTCTTAATTGGCCTGTCTTATTACTAATATCTGACATTCTTAGAACTATTGTGTGATCAGTAAGATTTCTATAAGATATACTGCTTTAAAAAAAATACCATGTTGGGAGGGGTGACTTATAGCCTACATTAGTGAGTGGTCACTTTATCGGATATTTAAAACAAGTACATTTTTTTTTAACAAGTACATTTTTAATGAACTAAGGTGAATAAAGGCACAACTAATAACAAACAAAAAAAAGCAGAACTAGTGTTTTAATGAAATACTCCTTAGTGTGTTGACAGTGTAAGATGTTTCTTTGCTAATAAAGTCAGAGAACTGAATTATATCATTTTCTTAGGTTTCCTCTTACTCGACCCAATCTTTGTAAAGAATGGGAGGCAGCTATCAGAAGAAAAAACTTTAAACCCACCAAGTATAGCAGTATTTGTTCAGAACACTTTACTCCAGATTGCTTTAAGAGGGAGTGCAACAACAAGTTACTGAAAGAGAATGCTGTACCCACAATATTTCTTTGTACTGAACCACGTGACAAGGTAATGTGTGTTTTAAAATACTGGCTTCCCCCTCCCCCATTTTAAAAATTAATGTATTTATTGTGGAAAATTTGGAAAATTCAGAGTAGTCTTAAGAAAATAAATGTTACCTGGAACCTATTCCTTATAAGTAATCACTGTTAACAGTAATATACTTTTAAAAAATACAAAATATAGTTTATCAAAGTTAAATATCCTCACACTAAGAAACTCAATCAAGTTTTGTAATTTATTTTAAGATTACTCTGTACCTCCACTTTGTATATTGATCAGTTATTATTTTTTTTAATCAATGACAGTTCAATTTCAAAGTATTTTCCCCCTCGGTTTTAAATACTCAGTAAATCATTAAATTTGATTAGTCATTCTCTTTCTTGCATCTCATTTCTACTTCAGGTAGAAAAATATAATTAAAACAAACTATTTCCTCATTTTGGAATTTTTTTTACCAGACTTCATTTTTAAAAAAGGTGTAATATTCTTGAATTCCACAGGTAAATTCTTTTAAACTGTTACTTCTAGTTATTAAATTCAAACATTTTGCATTATTGTTTTAGAAGGAAGATCTGGAGCCACAGGAACAGCCTTCCCCACCTCCTTTAAAACCTCCCATTTCCCAGGTTGATGCTGCTATTGGATTACTAATGCCTCCTCTTCAGACCCCTGATAATCTCTCAGTTTTCTGTGATCACAACTATACTGTGGAGGATACAATGCACCAGAGAAAAAGGATTCAAGAGCTAGAACTGCAAGTCGAAAAACTCAGAAAGAAGCTCAAGACTGCACAGCAGCGATGCAGAAGACAAGAACGACAGCTTGAAAAATTAAAGGAGGCCATACATTTCCAGAAAGAGAAAGACGTACCGGAGCGAGGTTTTGTGTTTCTCCCAGAAAATTACTTTGAAATAGTTGAAGTACCAGTATAGAAAGAGTGAAATTTGTATTGGTTTTTAATGGGGCAATACCACATACCCTCTTCTAGTCTATAAAGGAGTTTCATTTGAAAAAAATAGCACTTGATTACTTGTATAAAAACAATTCAGAATATTTTTTTAAATAAATTAGATATATACTATAAAATTGTTAATTCTTTTGTTTGTAATTTTGGGGTTTATACATTTTAACAAATATTTTGAAAGTTATAAACTAACCTCAGAACTCCAATATAAGTTGGTTTTAAGACTGAGGGTTTCTGTTTTTTAATTTGAGCATTTATAGAAATAATGTAAAAAAAAGAGAATGAGAACAGTACAGTAAAGATGATTTAAGTTGAAAATTTAAAATTAACTTAGTTTATTGAGAGAACTTAGTTATATTTTAAATCAGAAGTATGGCTTAGCTCATAGGACATAACTTCTCAGAATATAGTGGAACCTCGTTTCTCTAACTTAATTCTTTCCAGAAGGCTGTTCGAGAAGTGATTTGTTTGAAAACAGAATCAGTTTTTCCCATTAGAATTAATGTAAATTGAATTAATCCATCCCAGACCCCCAAATGATTCCCTGTTTCAACCTTTCTTATATACAGTACGTACATGGCTGATGTACAGCTTAATTTATAAATAAACACTTCTTTTCTAAAATTTATGGAACCACCCCTATTAGCCTTAAAGGAATTTTTCATACATCACTGCCTCCAGAATGCTATCACCAGCTAACTTCTTTTCCTTTATTCAATCAGCAACAGTTTTCCTACCTATTCAATTGCCTGTGATTGCTGTTTTGTGAGCACTTTCACACTCTTAGCTACATTAGCACTCTTAATGGCCTCTTTTTGTATTAAAATTGTGCTAATTGCCAGCAACAAAAGCATTCTCTCCTTTGCTTGTTGCCTTTGGGAAGCTTTTTGTTATGCTGATACCTCAGCATGAAAGAGTTATTGGTCGAAAACTGAAGTTTTGGTCGACAACTGAGACATTGTTTTCTGTGAATGACTTGGTTGAGAACCAAATTGTTCTGAGATGGGAGATGGTCGAGAAACGAGGTTTGACTGTATATACTGTAATCTTATTCACACATTCTTATTTGTAAAGTTAGAAGTTTCATTTATCTTAATCATTTGTCAAAGATAAATTGACAAGTCAATGCATTAAAAAAAGATAGGATATCTTAACATCAGAAAGTGAAGAATGGATTTTTTAAAAGTGGGCCCCTCTTTTGCCCTATTGTCTAGCATTATAAAATTAAAAGTGTATCTCCAGTGAAAGACACACTCTTTAACAAACAGAAAGCCTTGTTATCAGTGAAGTAATAAAAATGGGTCTGATCCATGTCAGTAGAGTTTGATTTGTACTGTAATATGGTAATTTTTTAAAAATATGTTTTTATTGATTTCAGAGAGAGGAAGAGAGAGGGATAGAGAGATAGAAACATCGATGAGAGAGAATCAGTTGCCTGCCTCCTGCACGCTTCAAGCTCACAACCCTGGCATGTGCCCTGACGGGGAATCGAACCATGACCTGGGTTCATGGGTCAATGCTCAACCACTGTACCACACTGGCCGGGCCATAATATGGTAGGTAATCTTGAACTTAACTAATTGATTTTAGTCAAGGCTTCACATAAAAAATGATTTCTTCACTTTTACCACAAATTAGAAATTATATCTCACTTAAATGATTTATATTCAAAAGCAACTTAATATGTAGTGTTTATTTTCCTGAATGTTGAGATTTAAATACTGAGGTTTCTGTTCAAACTGTGAATTGTATTCTGACTTTGTGATAAATTTTGCATATATTTGAAATGAAATATGTTCTGAATAAAGAAATACTGCCATAGCATGTACCTACTTAGATTTAAAGTAACAGTTTCAACTATAATTATTTTAAATGTCAAAGTACACTGAGATAGTTGAAGAATAACAGACCTTTTAAGACAGTATTAAAAATGATGTTCAAAGTGTTTTTGTAGACCTATTTTTCAGTGTAATTCACTGCAAGGCTGCCAATAGATAGTACTTTGATTCATGGAGATTTGATCTTTGATGAACCAGTATTTCAAAAACAGAACATTTTGATTCGAAGATTACTTGAAGCTATTTAGTCTGATAATATTTAGAACTAATTCTAATGAATAACAACATTTTCCAGTTGTAAAGTCTCCATTTCATCTCTCTAGCAATTCTTGGAGGATATGTGGATAAATATTTTGTTTTTATATAAATTGTTGTCTACATAAAAGAAAATTGTGTGTGTGTGTGTGTGTGTGTGTGTGTGTACACATGGGCATATGCGTGTGTACATGCAGGCATGTATGTGTGTCCAGAATGAAGAATCCAACATTGAATTGTAAAAGTGATGATGATAATTACTAAACATCTTAGCATTATGACTTAACCTGGAACTATTTTCTTTTCATGACAGACATAAATCCATGCTTGGAGAGAAGTGAGCAAGAAACATGTATACCAACTGTTTGCATATAAATAATATGTCATAGTTTAACATAGGGATTTTGAGGTACAGGTGCTTATTTCTGAATTTGAGATGTAACATTTGTTGAATGTTTTAAAAATTCATTTTGTCTATTATTTATAACATTGCCAAGAAAAGGATAACATTTAGGCTAAAATAGGTCCTGTTCAAACATAGTGAAACTCATTCTAAAACAGGGACAAGATTTCAATCTGAAACAAATTGGGAGAGGGCTTGTGAACTGCAGCATATTCTGAAAGGTAACATTTACTTTAGCATATAGCAACACACTAAAATAACCACCTGGGTGTGACATAATCTAGCTATAATTAATGGTGTGAAGAAACAATTGTTTCTTAATAGAACTGCTAGGAAAACAATAGAGTTTTAGAATTAGAAGGGACTTAGAAATCATTGAACACTAGCCCAACCTCTAAACCCTGGAAGAAATTTCCTTGTAAAATATTGCTGACAGTCGTCATCTGTTCTTTCATTGCCGTTTACATTTAATCAGTTCTGCTTAGATTCTTTAAATTGGGTTTTGGGATTAGGATAGAATTAGTTGCCACTATTTATACTTGTTTATAATACAAATATAAACTTCACTTTGAACTGCTGCATAGTTTGAACTGTCAAATTCTAAATTACAGAAGTTTTGAATTTTTGTAAAATAATTCAAATGTTTACTAATTGTTACACCTGTTATGTGTGCTAAAAATATTTCTGTCATTGAAGTAAAAAACAGTGGTGTCTAAAATTACTAGCACAACTTTTCACTTGGAAATCCAAGAACATGAAATTATTTTCCTTTATAATTTGTGTAATCCCTTTCTTAGCAGTATAATGGTAATGGTGAAGGCAAATAAAAGTTTCACTTGAATGGACGTTTTTAGGTTAAAATTCTCTGATCGCTTGAGTTATCAAAAAAATTGTACACACATGCACAATACCCAACACCTATGGCTTTTATAAAACCAGTAGTAAGTGACATAAAGTAATGTATTTAAAAGTCCTCATTATCTGTAAAAGAAAACTTAATTTGTGTTCTAGAATTTTAAAAAGATAGCCAACCTTTAGTATTTAAAGGAGAAAAAGTGAACAGATGGGCTTGCTTGGTTATTACTCTCTAATATTGCGGAGTGCATTGGATGACAGTGAGTGAAAAGCGTTGCTCTTATCTGATGGTAACTTGTGTTTCTGGGCATTATGGCTTAGTACAGTTGTGTATTAAAATACAGTCCTTGATGGGAAAGAAAAATAAAGAGCAAACACTGATTTGCAGACAAACAAAAATAGCAGTTATAATCAAGCTTTAAAAATGTGTTGAGAATTTTTATTCTTTTCTAAATTCATAGTATTTTGGGTTTTGAGATTATAAAAGTTTTATTTTAAATATCCTAAGGGATATGAATAAACTTTCATTGTTTTAAACTATTTTTGGTGAGACAAACTACAATATTAATAAATAGACTTCTGGAATGGCTATATGAAGACCCGTGACTGGCTCCCCTCCATAACTGCCGTAACAGGTGAAAAAAATTCTTTTTTTAAAATAACCATTTAAAGTTCATGTGGTCCTAAAGGCATACAACAAATGGAACATTTAAGAAAACCCAAATCTCTGTAAGAACTTACGAGTTTGTGGCATTTATGCCACAACCTATTCTCTTCCTACACCTCCTCTCTCCCTCCCCAACCACACACATAGCTCAGTGCTACCATAGCTCCACTCTGAGTGGGTATAGTCAAGAAGACAGTGCTCCCTCTTCCCTAACAAGGATATGGTATCTTTAAGGGAGGGGCAGGCTGCCAGTATTTCTCAGGCCCCTCTAGCTTTGTGTTGCAAAGGCTAAACTCCAAGTATATGCAGCCAAGAGGTCAGGACTCCCTTTTCTCAACCAGTTCCCACTCATAGGATGGAGGTTCTACCCCAGGTACAGCTGGCCAAGAATACTGGGACTCCGAGTACCTCTTGCTGGCTGGCTTATAGGGTAAAGTTTCTGTGCCAGAAGTGCAAGAAAAGCCCTCCCTACGGTCATAACAAGCCTCAAAGACTAGCCTCAAATACTACCTCTCCAAAAGGGCCCAACCAACTCTAATTGGATCAGACTGCAGAGCCATTTGTGCCCCAGGGCACCATCAAAAACAGCAATCAACTGGCAATTGGAGCTAACATGAGTGTGATGCCAATTAAGGCAGATGGGTTTAACAAATCAAAATATTCGGAGAAAGGCCTATTAAAACCTTGCCCAGGTGACTATGCGTACCCAAGGCTGCACCCTCTAAAGAATGAAATTGAAGATTTCTCAAGAAAAAAATGAAGCCAGAAGGCTGTGGGCTGATGTATTTAAAGGGTTAAAAGAAAAACAACAGCAACCTGTACATCAAGAATGCAGTATCTTGCAAAACTGCCCTTCACACTTGAGAGAGACATCTTACCATTGTAATTAGCTAATTATTAATAATAGGAAGAAAGCAAAGGAAAGGCCAGACATCATAAGCTTGGTCACCTAGGCAGCTTCACCAGGAAGCTGTAACTTTACCCTCACCAGTTTACTTGCAAATCACTGGGGAAGGGATCCAACAAAGGGGAGGATGAATGCATGTGCAATGAAGTCGGGTGACGGGAGGTGCTTGCCCATCAGTCCAATCGGGAAAATATAATTAGCCATAGGGGTGGAGCCAATGCAAGCCCACGAAATTCTGAAGGCTCAATTGGTTAAGCTCCTAGTTATAACCCTGAGACAAAGAGTTGTTGCTCTGTTGTTTGCTTGTGCTTCTGTTTCTCGCTTGGTCCATGACATGCACTTGCAGTGAACCTCCATAGCCATCTGGCCTTAAGCAGCCACAGGGCCGATGGCCATGCCAGCCCCACACGCAGTGGACTGCAGCTGGGAACACAAGCTAAGCTGGCCAGATGCTGGACTGGACTGTGCTTTCATATGGAGGGCAGTGGCTTTAATCCTAGCTCTGCTGGAGACAAAGTGGGACTTTTTCCATGGTGGGAGGGGGGAGATGGGACCTGGGAGGAGCACTTCCTTAATGTCACACCATCAATAAAGCTTTCCAGGATCCCTCACTCTCCCCTGGGGACCTCAGGGAATTCTTGTTTCCACAGCGCCCCAAGAATCCCATGTCCACTAGTAACAGGTGGAGACTCAGAGGGGACCCCACCACTAACAAAATTATGACATTCCCAGGTAAACAAAAATGAAGGGAATTCATTACCACAAGACCTGCCCTGCAAGAAATGATAGGATCTTGAAGGTTGCAATAAAAGAAAATACTAACTTGAAGCAGTATGGAGACAAATCAGAGTGTAATAACTTTAGGATGTCAAATATAATCCCCATGGTAATGACAAAGAAAACAGTATAGAATATACACAAAAAGAATTAAAGGAATTAAAATATTTCACTATGGCCCTGGCTGGTTTGGCTTAGTGGGTAGAGCGTCGGCCTGCGGACTCAAGGGCCTGGTTCGATTCCGGTCAAGGGCACATGCCTGGTTTGCGGGCTCATTCCCCAATAGGGGACGTGCAGGAGGCAGTCGATCAATGATTCTCTCCCTCTTCCTCTCTGAAATCAATAAAAATATATTTTAAAAAAGTTTCACTCTAAAAAAAATCAATGAAACACAGAAGATGGCAATAGTGCAGAATTAGAGCGAAGCACATCAGTGCAGGAAATGGACCAAAATGCTATAAAACATTGAAATCAAATAGCTAAATGAGAGAAATAAGTCCCTCCTTATCAGTAAATATATGTAAATGGAATAACTCCAATCAAAAGATAGAGATTGGCTGAGTGGATGTTAAGAACATGATCTAGCCCTGGCCAGGTGTCTCAATTAATTGAAGCATCATCCCATACACCAAAAAGTTGTAGGTTCGATTCCCAGTCAGAGCACATACCTAGGTTGGTTTGATCCCCAGTCAGGGCTCATAAGGAAGGCAACAGATCGATGTTTCTCACATTGATGTTTTTCTCTCCTTTCCACTCTAAACATATCCTCAGGTGAGGATTTAAAATAAAAGTGATCTAAATATGCAGTCTCACTTTAGAGACTCACTTTAGATCTAAAGACACAAATAGATTAAAAGTGAAAGGATGGAAAAAGTTATTTCATGCAAATAGTAACTGAAAGAGAACAGGTGTGGCTATACTAATATCAGCCAAATAGGCTTTCAATTTAAAAAGTTGACAAGAAACCAAACATTTTATATTAATATAAAGGTTCACACAACTTAAGATATAACAGTTATAAACCATCTAATAATAGACCATCCAAATATATGAAGCAAAAATTGACAGAATTGAAGGGAGAAATAGTTCTACAAAAACAAAGGTGAAGTAAAAATATTCTCAGATAAAAACAGGGAATCTATTGCTAGCCAACTCATCTTAAAATAAGTACTAGAGGAAGCTGAAAGCAAGTGACACCCTACAGTAATCTGAAGCAAGAATTGCCAGTAAAGGTAGTTGTGCAGGTAATTAATTATAATGACTTTATAACTGCATTTTTCCTCTTAACTAATTTAAAAGCAATTGCATAAAACTAGGTGTAGCATTGTATTGTTAGGCCTATAACTTAGAGAAATGTAATCTACTTGACAATAATAAATGAGTGGGAAGAAAGCTGTGCTGAAATAAGGAAATAACACCGGCTAGTAACTTGAATCCTTAAGGAGAAATGCAGATTAAAAAGGAAGGAAATTCTGACATGCTAAACGAGGCATGCGGCCCTCCGGCTGCGAGTTTGACTTGCTTGTGCTACAACATGGAAGAACCTGGAGGGTATTATGCTAAGAGAAATAAGGCAGTCACAAAAATACAAATACTGTATGGTTCCACTTATATGAGGTACTTGAATCAAAATTACGAAGACAGAAAGTAGAATGGTGGTTTCCAGGGGTTGTGGGGAGGGGAGAATGGGGAGTTATTGCTTAATAGATATAGAGTTTCAGATTTACAAAATGAACAGAGTTATGGGAATGGACCATGGTGATGGCTGCACAACAAGGTGAATGTATTTATCGCCACTGAACTGTACGCTTAAAAATGGCTACTATGATGGGAAAAAAAGTGCTGTGGGGTTACTGACACTCAGGCTGGTGAAACAGTTCATTGATGAAGTGTCTGCTACTGCACTTAAGTCTCGCAATGACCTCGTGGCAGAGGTTGAAGATTAATGTCCCAATATTGTAGATGAGTTGAGGAGAGACAGTCCAGGTGGCACTGGAGGTACATCGGTAGCTTAACAAGAAACTGATCCAGCAGGTTGCATTCATTCTGGTTTTTATTTTTTTAAAATATATTTTATTGATTTTTTACAGAGTAGAAGGGAGAGGGATAGAGAGTTAGAAACATTGATGAGAGAGAAACATCGATCAGCTGCCTCCTGCACACCCCCTGTGGGGATATGCCTGCAACCAAGGTACATGCCCTTGACCAGAATCGAACCTGGGACCCTTCAGTCCGCAGGCCGACGCTCTATCCACTGAGCCAAACCGGTTAGGGCTGGTTTTTATTTTTTATTCTCTGTATCTTACGATGTTTTGACATCTCTCAGGGGCCTTTCAGACCCAGGGAAAGCCTGTCCCTCCCAGGGCTAATTCCTGGGGGAGGGAGAGGGGTGGACAGCTTGCCTGGAACATACCTTTCACATACAGACTGGCAGATCCAAGGCCTCTAACTTTCACACACCAAGCCAGTATTCCCCCTGCCCTAAATCACCCCACAGCCAGGAATGGGACAAGTAGAGACCACCCCTATAGCCCCAAACCCACTAAAATGATTGGAACTAGCCAACCCTAAACTCTTCCCTCTGGTGCCTTTCCTGAGGGAATCCCACTAAAGGCTCTGGCCTCTACTCTCCCCTCATG